CCCTCCCTGCCCCTGGCCCGCCACGCCGGCAAATGCATCACAGACACATACACGCACGCGCACATGCACACAATTACACGCACACACCTCTGTGTGCAGCAAACACGCTTGACCTTCTCACACCCGACTCTCCCACGTGGCCCGGCCGTGTGTGTATGTGTGTGTGTGTGTGTGGCCTGCGGGCCCTGAACCTGAGGCCTGGCCTCCTGCCAGGGCCGCTTCTCCTGGAAAGGATTTCTCCAGAACCTGTGGTTCTAGGCTCTATGCCCCGAAAGGTTCTAGACTCTGCCACATACCCTCAGAGCTTCAGGAGCCTCAGGATTCACCAACTGTATTTAGAACCCAGACCCCCCAGGAATTGATGGGAAGTAAAGGTGTGAGCCACCCAAGATCCCCCAGCCAGTGAGAGGAGCGGCTGTGATGGGGCCCCAGACCCGCCCGCACGCCCACGCTTGCAGCCATGGCTGTCCAGCTCACAGTCCCTGGCTGACGGCATCTGTGGAGAGAACAGAGGAAAGGGGGAGGCATGGAGGACCCTCGGGGGGCTGTGCCGTCCGCAGGGAGCTGGTCTCACGGTGGAGCCAGAGGTCAGGCTGCGGAGTCACCTGCGTCTCAGGAGGCTCTCGGGCAGGGAGGCCACAGGGGACTCAGAGGGGTCAGAGAGGCCCAGCCCCTGAGACTCAGGGACCCCTGTGGCAGATAAGGCGCAGGACGGGGAGCTGCGGCCTGGGATTCAGTTCTAGATCTAGCTGTGTGACCTTAGGCAAGGCCCTCTACCTCTCTGGGTCTCAGTAAAAATAAGGGGGCTCGGTTCCTTCCTCTCGAAGGATTCTTCCAGGAGGAACAGAGGAGGGTTCTCTGAGCTCCCCCAGCCTCTCTTCCCAGCAGCTTCCCAAAGGCTGTGCTTGGGTGTGGGAGTAGTGAGCTCCGGGCACGGGGGTGGGAGTAGTGAGCTCCGGGCACGGGTGCCTGGTCGTGGGGAAGCAGAGTACAAGTGACACACTCCCAGCACTAGTCATGCCACTGGAGGTGCTGAGCGGCTAATAGGGTCACCATCTCTTCAGCACCTACAATAGGCTTTGCAACCCTGTTGTCTGGTTTAGTCTGTGCAACAGCCTCATGCAGTAGTTACCATCATTATCCCCATTTTCCAGATGAGGAAACTGAGACCCAAAGAGGCAGGTCCCTGACGGAGTTCATACAGCTGGCAAGTGTGAGCCCAGTCTGGGGACGCTGCAGTGTCTTGATGGTTGTTAGACAAGTCTTCAAAGTGAGTCTAGAGCAGTGGTCCCCAACGTGGGGCACACCCCCCCCAACAGGGGGGCAGCTTGATTTTTAACGGGAGCAATTCGAGAATGAGTTATTAACAGTGAATTTTTTGCATTTCTTATGGCTCTAGGGGCCTCATATACATTATATAAATATATATTGTGACATATTTATGCATTTCAGTTCTCTATCATGTTTTGAAACTTCATTTGCTATTTTTTATATCATTTCATATTATTGTTATTTTTAAAACAACTTTTTAGTGATTTCTTCCTCAGCACTTCAACTGTCCTTTCGTTCTTTTATTTTTCTCTTTCATGGCTGCCATGTTCTTTGGAAGCTTGTTTAGACCAAGTTAATGGCCTTTTAGGCTTCCTCCACGTGAATAGGAGTTCACTTTTTGAATAATAGGAATTATATGTCACAGGGTGGGCATCAGGATCTTAGAGATGCTTAGGTGGGGACGTGGCCAAAAAAAACGTTGGGAGCCACTGCTCTAGAATGATCTCCCAAGTGGGAAAGGAGACAGAGGACACTCCCAGCGCAGGGCCGTCCTGCGCAAAGGCATGGTGAGGCCGGAGGGGTCCGCGTGGTGGGCAGTGAGGCCGGAAGGATCCGGGTGGTGGGCAGTGAGGCCGGAAGGGTCCGCGTGGTGGGCAGTGAGGCCGGAGGGGTCCGCGTGGTGGGCAGTGAGGCCGGAAGGATCCGGGTGGTGGGCAGTGAGGCCGGAAGGGTCCGCGTGGTGGGCAGTGAGGCCGGAGGGGTCCGCGTGGTGGGCAGTGAGGCCGGAAGGATCCGGGTGGTGGGCAGTGAGGCCGGAAGGGTCCGCGTGGTGGGCAGTGAGGCCGGAGGGGTCCGCGTGGTGGGCAGTGAGGCCGGAAGGATGGAGGGAGGCCCCGGTCAGCACCCAGAGGCCCCCGTTAGCCAGCGCCGTGTGCAAACCACCCAACACCGTGGCTTCACACAGCAGTGCACTCACCTCTCTGTGAGGCCGGGCGGACTGGGCTCAGCCGGGCGGTTCTTGCTTGGAGTCCTCGTCCCGTTGCAGTCAGGTAGCGGCGAGGGCTGGAGCTGGGTCCGCTGAAGGCTCCACGGGGCTGGTGGCCTCTGGGTGCTCCACGTGCCCTCGCCTGGGTGATGTTCCAGCTCAAGACACAGAGGGGCCCGGATGCTCACACCATCCTGCTTCCTCTCCTCCCACCTCCCACAGCCTGCGGCCACTCTCCCCCCACAAGGAATCGCACATCACATCTGCCCACTTCTCCCAGCAGCCACCCCTCTTACCCCTTCATCTCCCTCCTGGCCCGGGCGCCAGCTTCCTCCAGGGCCCCAGCCTCCAGGGTGGCCCCCGGGACCCGCGCTGCATGCAGGCACTGCAGGTCTGACGAGGTGTCACCCCGTTTCATGACGCCCTAGAAACTCCGTCCTGATGGAGTCTGCTCCTTCCCTTGGCTTTGCTGGGCCCCCCACGGACCTGGCCCTGTCCACCCCCCACTCCTGCTCCAGCCAGACCAGCTACTTTCCAGGCCCGGGGCCCTTGCCTGTGCTGTCCGGAGGCCTGGAATGTTCTCCCTGTCACTGGGCCAGCTGTTCGTTCTTTAGGACTCACGGGGGCCTTTTCCTCCTCGGGGAGCTGCTCCTGCACCGCTGGCCATGGTCTGTTCCGTGCTGTCTGCCGCCCCCGCTAGCCTGTCCTGGAGAAGCTGCGTCGTGTGGTCTCTGATCTTCCAGCCCAAGGTCTGGCCTGGCGCTGTGGTCGCCAGAGCTGGTGGAAGGATGGCTCAGTTCCCCCCGGTCCCACTCCCTCCCACCCCATCCTGCACCCCTGTTCTTCCCCGATCTGCATCCCCATCCAGATCTGGGTCCCAAGCCCAGCTGTGCCGCCCTATGGCACGGAGCCTCAGTTCTCCCATCTGCAGGATGGGGAACCGCAGCGCGGCCGTCCTAGACTGTCGTAAGGATTAGGTGACGCATGCACCTGCTTGGGTGTCGTTGAGCTCAGTGATGTTAGCTGCTGTTGTCATGCATTGTCTAGCGGGGCTCCCGTCCCCGCAGCTCTCTGCTCCCAGCTGCCCATTGTGAACATTCCTTCTTCACCAGGGACACTGGCTCCTGCTGCCGTCCCCGGGACATTAGAACTCCAGCTGATTTTTGAAACTATTACCTGTCTGTCTGGGTTTTCTGGGCGCCTACCTGACTAGTGGCCAAACAGAGACCTTCAAGGAGGAGCGGGCTTCTGCCCAGCAGGCCCCCTCACTCCCCACATCTCCCCACCAGGAAGCGAGGTGACCCCGGGCAGGGCTTAGGCACCTCTCGGCGGCAAAGTGGCGCTGGTAGCGGTGGTGCTGGCCCCTCCCCGGGTCGTGGGGGACAGGGGACATGTGCAGAGGCTTAGCTTGGCATCGAGCCGTGCTGAGCGCTGGGGCCTCGTGGCCCGTTCAGTGCAGCCGCAGCCCTCCACGCGGGCTCTGGAGTGAGGCCAGAATCCACACTAATCCTCCGTCCTCGTCCCCGATCCCCGTCTTTCCAGGCTGAATGTTACCCTGATTATGTGGTAGGAAAATGAAGAGAACATTTGTTCTTTTATATATATATAAAAAAATAGCATTTTCTCCGTTTACAAAAGTAATACATGTTAATTGTGGATAATTTTGAAATTAAGATAAACCAAAGAGAAAATTCAAAATGCTCTGTAATTCCTCACCCTCCACAGGCACTTTGTAGTGAATGGGGAGCCCGGGAGGGGTCACAGGCTCCCTCGGTTTGCAGCCTCATTGTCCCTTCAGGGCAGAGCCCGGGTTTCTGCAGTGCCTGCAGCCTCCACGGGCGTGCTGCTCGGAGAGCTCCCCCAGTAGCAGCTGTGAGGAGGGCAGGTCTCAGCCCCGACCCAGCACCTGCTCCCCAGCATTGCCGGGGTTCCGAGGCAGTGCAGTTTGGGAAGCAGCCCAGAGCCCCGCTGAGTGGATGCTCTCGCACAGTAAGCCCGTCCTCTACTGCTGAACCCGGAGGTGGTCCCAGGCTGTGATGTCAGCGACGCCACATTAGCATAGCACCCTGACCAGCGACACCCGCCCACCCCCCACCCGGTTCCTGGAGCCAGTATTAAGGAGCTTCCCCCACCCCCCACATTCGCTCCTCTTCTCCCCAGAACATTCTGGTAAAGTAGGGACCATCTTCATCCCTGTCCTGCCGATGAAGGAGCTGTGGCTGGGGGGCAGGGCGACCACACTCCACTGTCCCACAAACGGTGGCCCTTCCCTCCACTCCCTCCCACCGCCCTTCGCTGCGGGTGAGCTTTCCCGTCTAGATCTAGAACGTCTGCTTCTGTGCTAGGCAGGGCCGGTGCAAGGCGGCGCCCAGCCCACGCTGTCCCTGCCCCAGGAACCAGCGTGTCCTGGTGACCGGCGAGCCACAGCGCCGTGCTTGGCTGGGCTGGAAGGGGCAGCCTCACCCCCCCGGGTCTCGGGGAGGGGGTAGGACAGGGTCGAGGGGAGCGGGTAGGACACGGTCGAGAGGAGACAGCAGATTCGGGGGGCGGGGGCAGTGGGGCTCAGACCAGGAGAGGGGTAGCTGGGAGGACATGGGCAGGGGACCCTCGGTTGCCCGGTGCGGGAGCCCGTGGCAGTAAACACAGCCACGTGAGCGTGAATCCTTCTGGGGGAAACCCTTGGCTGGGAACAGTGCGGTGATGGCAGCGGATTCTATTAAAAGCGGTTCTCATTACCGCGCTGTTAATTATTAATAGGCCCGGGCAAATAAAGGATGGGAAAGCCCAGCTGGGCCTGACTCAAATCTTGCCTCCGAAGCAAATGGCTTTTGGTTCACGTCCAGGAGACCCAGCCACGAACGCGCTTGTTGGGAAAGCAGTGACAACCCGGAGGCGGCCGCAGCGGACGCACCGCTCATACCTGCTTTAGAAAGGTGACGACGAGGGAGCGGGCCACAGTCGGGGCCCAGGGATGGCAAACGCGGGGCCTCTGCGTTCAGGCCCAGATGACCTGGGTGTCCTATTCGGGGCCCAGCGTTCCACTGGGGTGGACACTGCAGACCTCTCCTCCTCTAAGCGCCGCCCAGACCCTGGGGCTGTCCAGCCGCTAAGGAGCTGCAGGCAGAGCTTTCTCCAGAAGCCACAGTGAGAACAAGGCAAGACAGTGTGAGGTTTGGGCTGAGGAGACCCCAAGAGAGAGAGACTTTGCCCCTCTTTTCTACTGCCACCCGCCTTATCTTCACCGAACTCCTATCCACCCTTCAAAGCCCGGCTCAGACGGCCTGTCCTCCAGGAAGCCCTGCCCAGTCCCAGCCATGTTAACAACCAAGGATACAGATGCTGTCCCTGCTCTGCTGACAGTTTAGCAAAGTTATTAATCAAGTGACCATCACAAACCAGGAGGACAGAAGGACACCGTGCTCTAAAGCAGGGAGATGGTGCACGCTGTTTGGGGGAGCACACATGGTGAGTGTAGGGCTCGGGGGAGGGAACCCTGGTAGCAGTGCATGCTGGGACTTGTGCTTCTGTCTTCGGCTCAGAATGTCCAAGGGCCAGCGCGTGGGCCAGGAGCAAAGGCGGCCTTCACTCAGCTGAGCAGCAGTCGGCAGGAGCCCGCTGGAAACTGGGAAACGGACTGACCGAAGCCCCTCGGTTCTGTTGCCCAGACCGAACACGGAGACCCGAGTGTGGCCATCAAAAAGGAATAAGCGAACAGGACCAAAGGCAAGCTACACGGCCCGTCCACGTAGAGTCATGGGGTGTGGGTTGGCGATTCTGTGTTTGTGGGACATGAAAGATCAGTCGGGAGCTGAAAACCAGGTATTGCAGGCTTTATTAGGAGAAAGACCTGCCGGGCTGTCTCGCAAGGGGAGAGCAGCAGCCCATGCAGAGGCGAGCAGTCCTTCTGAGGGGCGGGATGGGAAGGAATGGGGCTTAGGGTACTCGGGCGAGCTGATTGGTGGCTTAATGAATGGTCCATATAAGGTACGTTACGCTGTCTCGCAAGGGGAGAGCAGCAGCCCATGCAGAGGTGAGCAGTCCTTTTGAGGGAGGAATGGGAAGGAACGGGGCTTAGGGTACTCAGGCGAGCTGATTGGTGGCTTAATGTATGGTCCATATAAGGTACGTTAAGCACTCAGGTACTTAGGGACAAGGGCTTAGGGTATTTGGCAGGTGCTGAATGGTGGCTTAATGTATAGTCCATATAAGGTACATGGTTAGGCACTCAGGTATTTCCGGGCTGCAGGCTACTGTTACTCCGCCCACCAGTGGGGGGAAGGGAGGATCCAGCAGGACAATACAGAGGGGAAAGCGCCAGCCACCAAGGCTGTGAGGAAACTGCAGGACCTGGGAAAGAAAGCACATTCATTCTAAACGCCGGGGGAGCAGGCCTCGGACAGCCGTTTCCTGCAGGAGCCAGAGGAAGACGCCGGAAACTGCGTGGCAGCTTCAGCGGCAAACCGGGAGCAGAAGGGCAGCGGGCGGCCCGGTGGGCGGGAAAAGGCAGCCTGAGGATATGAAAAGGGACAGGACGGTGGAGTGGGTTGACCTGTGGTCTCCAAAGAGATAGGTCCAAGTTCTAACCGCCGGTTCCTGTGAACGTGACCTTATTTGGGAAAAGGCTCCTGGCAGATACATGACGTTCAGAGTCTCAGGGTGAGTCACCCTGGATTAACGGGGTGGGCCCTAAATCCAACGATAAGTGTCCGTATAAGAAGCGAGAACACTCACCAGAGGAGAAGCCACCTGGCCGACGTGGCTCAGTGACGGACCGTCGACCTACGAATCAGGAGGTCCCGGGTTTGATTCCCACGCCGGTTCCTGTGAACGTGACCTTATTTGGGAAAAGGGTGCTGGCAAATACATGACGTTCAGAGTCTCAGGGTGAGTCACTCTGGATTAACGGGGTGGGCCCTACGTCCAACGATAAGTGTCCGTATAAGAAGAAGCAAGAACACTCACCAGAGGAGAAACCACCTGGCCGACGTGGCTCAGTGACGGAGCGTCGACCTACGAATCAATCAGGAGGTCCCGGGTTTGATTCCCAGGCACCTGCCTGGGTTTCGGGCTCGATCCCCAGTAGGGGGCGTGCAGGAAGCGGCCGATCAATGGTTCTCTTTCATCATTGATGTTTCTATCTCTCCTTCTCCCTTCCTCTCTGAAATCAATAAACATGGGAAAAAAGAAGAGAAAGGAGTCATGTGCCCACCAGCCAAGGAGTGCCGGCAGCTGCCAGGGGCCAGGGGAGGCGCGCGGAGCAGCTCTGACACCTGGGTTCAGACGTTGGCCCCAGAACTGCGAGAGAATACAGGTCTGTCGTTTTAAGCCCCCGCTGTGGGAATTTGGTTGAGCAGCCCTAGAAAACGAACACAGATGGAGTGAGGAAGGGTGGCAAGGGGAGACAAAACCACAGCAGCGGAATTCGCCTCCATCGGAGGCAGCAGCAAGCGGAACCTGCCACGCGGAAAATGACGTTAGTGATGGAGCGGCCAAGCCTCGAAACGCGTCCTAAAAAGTGTGACAGAAACCGAGAGATGGAAACAGACCATGAGAAGGTGGTGGGGACGAGGCGGGGGCGGCAGGCACGTCATGAGATTGTTGGAGAGAAGGTCGGGATAAGAAACAATTTCGAATAAAAGAATGAAAAGCCACCTGTGGCTTAAAAGGAAACAAAGAGATCCGAATGTCCAGATTGGAAAGATTCAGGGCATCTGGGGGGGATCAGGAGAGCCTTCCACCGAGACTTGTTCTGGAAAACAGTGTAAATTATGCAAATAAGGACCAGGTTGTACGCGCCTCTGGGAAGAAAATCGGCTTAACTTGTAAAAGTACCACCCCAGGCTGGTCTCCGCTGTCACACTGGGTGCTAAGAGATAAGGGACACGTGTTGGCAGAGTTTGGGGGGACAACTGAGGCATTTTTTACTGAACCATCAGCTGGGAGTCCAAGGACCATAACCCCGTGGCTGAAAGTCTGGGCATTAGCATTGAAACCAGTTAAAAAACAGCGAGTGTGAGGAGTTATTATAAAGGTTGTTTTCAGACCTAATACAAATGTCAGAAAGTATTCTTTTTCTTTCTTTTCTTTTTTAAAATATATTTTATTGATTTTTTACAGAGAGGAAGGGAGAGGGATAGAGAGTTAGAAACATCGATGAGAGAGAAACATCGATCAGCTGCCTCCTGCAC